AAGGTTTCCCCGATTTAACCGAGTGCTCTCAACGAACATTCGTTGCCTTTTTCTCCTTATTGCAACTCCTACTTCCAAAAGATAACCTTGCTTGGTCTGCCTTATTTTCCTTTTAGTGGCACGCAGGTATTTCATGTCGATGCGGCACTATCCCGTTTGGACATTCATACCGTTCCTGTGAATCTTTGAGCACACGTTTTCGTGCTTCAAGCACTCGTTTCAAGTTGCCTGAACTTATTGACCCACCGTTTGTATAACCCACCTGTGGTCCTTTAGCTATGCTGATCGTTCTCGGTTATTCGAAGGATAAATGGATCGCACCATTACACACAATATAGCTTTAGCTGCCAGTCAACGGAAAACGAGATTTGCAAATCGGACGCGATCTGATGAAGAAATAGATGGTAAAAAAATTTTTGAAACCATTCTACTCTCCAGAGAGGTGCACCCGATAACAAGCTAAATTGTAGGGGGCGGAAAGAAATTCAGGCTTGGTGCGTGACTGCGATGGTTGTGCCATCTCGCGTCGATGTCATGGGCGTTTGGAAAACAAAAAACAAACAGAAAAATAACAAAGGCGCACAAACTCCACCATTTTAGAAAAGTATTACAGTAAACAGTAGAAGCTTAGATGCACCAACGGTGTATCGACTAGAACTTTCCACTGGCGCTGCTGCGTTTACCCAGGAGATAATATGCAACTGATGAATTAGATGACGACCAAAATAGCCTGCATTGTTAGCAGTATGAGATCAGATAGTATAAAGGTATTTACTATATGTACAGGCCCGTGCTTTTTAGGTGTGTTTAGTTAACACGCGACGCGCGAACGAGTGTGGTTATGACAATATGCACTAGCATGTTAAATAAAAGTACTAACAATTCTAGTGTATGTGTAGCGATGTATACGTATACAATCAATGTAATTACCGTAACGCCACCGATCAATCGTAAGGAATACTAATGTAGACTATTCCATGAACTACATAGAAGCGAACGGAGTGAAAACCGTCCTTCCGTCATCAATCAAACACGACATAGCAATTATTACGCACAAACAGCGTCACTTTTTTTTTTTGATATATTATCTAACAACACGGATCACTTTATTAATTCTTTGATATTCTCGTATTAGTGTTCTATTATAAATATAATTTTTTTATCCGATTCGGCGCCGTTTACAATGATGGCTATTTCACAGATCACATCATTCGTTCCCATCAATAATTAAATGCATAACAAACACCAATCTCCGCCGAACTGTTTTTTTTTTTGTGTGTGTTCACTTTCGCTTAGAACCTACACACTAAATTGCGTGTCTAATTGAGGACGAAATAGGCTGCTACGGTCAGCAGTGGGCTGCACAGGCGGTTTGGTATATAGGGTAGCTTAGTGAAGCCCCATTCGAGTCACAGCTTTCGGTGGAAATCGCAATCGCAGCTGGGTTGGATTTCTCTATCCGTCCCTACCTAAATACCCGACCTGTATAAATTGTCGTAATTCATTTATGACGTTGAAATGGTAGAGCAAGTAAATTCCAATATACTTTTATGACCGGTGCAACTGAGTCAAGGCGTAGTGCTTTTTATTCGTCGAACTAGTGCGAAGCTTGCCTCTCAGACAGCCCTGACTTTTTTGTTTTTTTTTTGGGGGGTCAGTCATGGTGATGGGGATAGCGACGGCACCACCCAGAAACATCGACAGAGTGTTGAGCTGCCGGGGGCATGGTGTTTATCTAGTTTCGGTACTTCCATCAATAGATTATTAATAAAAATCGTCAGGAATAGCAGAACGGATGACTCAAATCGACGATGATGTGAAACGAAATAATTACACACGCATCCCCTTTTAACGGAAGCTATTCTATCAGTAGTAAAGAAAAGACCTTGATTTGTCTGGCAAACTTTTATCATTTCATTATCACTACGTTAAATCATGCCCGTTCCTTTGAAATTTCGACAATTCTATATAAACAAAAACGCGATCCAACGTACGAATAAAATCTGTCTTGTATTGCAAAAGATTCATCTTAACAGTCTCTCTGTGTATGAGACATTCACATAATAGCCGTACAAGCATTTTTGTCTATGTAATTAAGCTATGTTTGTAAACTCGAATAACGCAATATGTACGCAACTGTTTGCTCCGATGTAGTTCTCACATATGTATACTGTTGTATAGATATCTTGAATTACGGATCAGTCTCGTTTGGTCGAGAGCTCTTTTAAAGCCGTTTATCTGTTCCGTCGGTATATATTGCGTGTAACGGCTATGACTGTGATATCTAAATTTGTTGTCTCATAGCCAAAATAGCAAGCAGCCTTCCAGGAGCGTCATAACACCGCAACCCGCCTTCGTTTTTCCTTTCGTCTTTTTCTTCCTGCCACTTATAGGAATAACTATAAGGACACAAGTTTCAATCTTTACGTCGATTTGTTATGCAAATATGAATTATTTTGCAGTAAACTCAGTCTCCCTTATGACACTGTGGCATCCTGACTTGCTCTTCCGCCGATAGGTTTCAGATAGAATGTATGGGTAGAGAATGCTGCTGAACGATCCAAGCCACAGTAGTGCCTTTCCTGTAGTTCGTACTATCCAAAAGGACGCGCTTCCGTGGAGCTATTTACTGTCGCTGTTTGGGGTCTTATTGGTTGTTTCTGTATCCGATAGGAGCTTCTTAGGGCTTTTGTCTGAGCCTCAACGTTTACTCGTCCAATTTAACTGGCTTTCTGCTAGAATTATTGTTGTTATTGGCCGGTAAGCTTGGAAGTCTAGACTTTTCGACTGTGTGTTTACCTGCCCCACTTTTGCCTAAATAGCCAGTTGGCCAATCTGAGCCTTTTACCCCGTCGCAGTTTTTCGGTGGAATGCTCCCTGTAAAACTAATAAGATACTAGGAGCACTAGGAGTAGAGGTGAGTAGTGTTTGCTGATGCTGCTTCTGTTACTCTATTACCATTGGTTTTTCTTTAAGGGGGGGGGGACGGGGGGGGACGGGGGGACTAACTCGCCATTAACGGCAGTCATTTTGAACCACATCAACCTTAGGTTGCGGTAATGAGGGGTCTCTCATGCTCATCGTCTTTGCTCCTTAGCCGCGCGACGCCGCATGGTTAACATCCTAGGCGCGGCCACTGTGCGACCCAGTTCAGTCGCCAGACCCGCAATTACACTGCATACGCACATATCATTACCCGCAACAGTAGCAATCATCGTTATTCAAAACTGACTGTCGGCTCGAGTAGTGGTTCTTCATAGGCTTTCTTTAACCTCGTCATCGCTCACCGTCGCTTTACCGATTGTCGCTGGACTGTTACGCGTTAAACTAGAACTGACCCTGTTCTGTACATAACAAAACACTGTTACGTTGTGTATACTCAGAGAATAGCGGTTCGACCAAACCGGTAGTTTTTGTACGTATATACCTTTTAGGTATTACAACTCGCTATGCCTGTGATACAGAGACTCTATTGTTTACTGTTACAACTGTGGCTCGTGTCCCATTTCAGTTGGCCGTATTCGAAATGGCCAGTGGCCTCCGTAATGCTTTTTGAAAAAAGGATCGAAGGGTTATGCGGTAAATAACGTAGCAAAGAATCTTCAGCTTTCGACATAACTGTTTCATCGTTAAGGGGCGTTTGCGAATAATGCCTTTTTTCCATCCAATGCTGTTACTCTTCGTACCCCGCAGTGTTACCTACTTCGTACCTATACAGCAGCAATAGACTGTTCTTATTCAATGGTCAGATGTTCGCTGCTTCGGTAACCATGGCAACTGGGTTTACACAATTGACTCAATGACGAATGTACGTTCTCTAATATTAGGTCTGAAAGGATGTTTGACAAAATCCAAAATTAATGCAGAAATAATACCGGCATTTGCTAGCAGAGTTCAGATAAGCATATCTATTAATTTTAAAACTTATACAATCTGCTGTTTTTCATTTTTCCTACACACACACACTTAATCAACTTGGTCGTATATCCAATTTGAAACATGACCTCGAGGCAAAGCACGAACACAGAAATTCGATTGTTATGACACGTTTTTGTTTAGGTGTGGTAATTGACCGCCTCCACTAGCTCAAACTCGGTTGCTTATTTTTCCCAATTCTAAGTATTACAGCTACGTGTAGAGATTATTAGTATCAAATGGAAATGTGTTGCCACATCGGGCACTAGAATTAGGGTTATTACGGTCTCGTTTCTTATTAGGGTAATGATCGTAAACGAAATAATTAGCTTGCGCTCAAGCGGGAACGGACGTTAAAATAGGCCTGGAAGTGGACCAAACAGAATCATCAGCCTCGTCAGCTGCTGTACCATCAGTAATAACGTCCATGTGTAATATGGATACAGGCTTAGGCAAGAATTAGTTGACGTCGGCAACGACGACGATGAGAAAACAGTTGACAATGATGGATAGGCCCGTTTTTCTTTCGCCTACGTCGTAAAACTTTCTTTAAAAGGTGTGCGTATGTGCATAGATACACGTCTTCTAACAGCTTCGTGTTGGCTATCATTCTTCCTTGCATCTATCGATCTATTAAATCGGATTAAATTAGTAAAAAGTGAAAGGCTCGTAAACCAAAAACAGGAAACGTCCAACTTCCCATCTCAGCCGTATCAGCTAAGGGAGCCTTATCGCAGCGGACGATCAGCTTAAGGTCGAAACGTTAACACTGTTCGATGATAATAATATGCGAATATAGATCACACAAAACTTTACGGTCATCAGTATCTTTACTGCTATGACTAGTCATGCTTTGGCCAGTAGCATCCAATGCTATCACGGTGGAATTGTATAAGCTATAGTCGATTCAGCTTAAGACCGATACGCTGAATGGAAACTGTCGAGGTAATTAAGTAGCGGCGTCACAATAAATTAGACTCATAAATGTTGAGATTTTTTCGAATGAATGAAAGAATTTTTGAAGATGTTAAATTACTGCTAGCACTAGTGTGCGACACATTTGCTGCCGAACGTCGGAAACAAGAACAATGTCTAGCAACAACGAAGACGAAAGCCGGCAAGAAACCGCGTGTTTTCATCGTAATGACTATGGTGATAAATGCACGGACAAAGGTAATAGTATTTATAATATAGTTGGAGGAGTAGGACTTGAAATAATATAAGGCAAAGTCAGGTGAGCAGGACGAAAATTATAAGCAGGCGGACGTACTCAGTCTGCTTTTCAACTGCAAGTCCGGTAGTGACGGCAGCTCTACCCATGCAAAAATTACAAACTTCAGGAAAACATTCTACGTGAAACATATGCAAAGAACCGTTTATATAAGTGATAATATAATATAATAATAATAATAATAATTTTCTTTGTAACTAACGTCGGTATCTCGTTATCTACGATGTGTGTATCGTACTCTGACAGATACGGGCCCTGACCACTACGACCAGCGAAGCTTTCGTTAAGAAACATTGGTACAATGGTAATAGGATGATTTATGAAACTCGTTATTGTAGCATATAAGTAAAAAGATCCGTTCAACGGCTGCGTCGTGACCTGTTCCAATAAATCGTGTTCTTTTCTAGCTTAACATTTAAACTGTTGTTGAAGTGCAGGATATTCTTAAAACTCGGTCAACGACGATGCGCCACAAGCCATCATCGATATGGACTTCGAGAGACAATTACATTCGGAAGCCTGAACTAAGTGCGTGGAGAGTGCACAAAAAAACATATGTTTAAATAAGCGAAAGGGAAGCTGCTGTGTACACTATATGCGGCACATAAGGGCTAAGTGAAGTATGAATTGATAACAATTGTTAGTAACATACATTAAATGTTAATATGTTGACTTCATTTTTGGTTAGCCTATCCTTGTTATTTGCTCATGTTGCTGCGCATCATCCCCGTGTGTCGATTTTGTCCTATCATAATATATCATATCTAAATAATCATACTTGACGATAAGCTCTTCCTTAGTGTAAAGGCTCGTGATGTCGTGCGTATATAAATGCAACTCGTCGCTTGCATTACTGTCCATTAGTTATTTTCTAATTCTTATTGCTACTTTTATGCGTTATGTGATAGCTGCCGGTACGGCAAATTGCCGATTTACATACATATAAGATAGCCATTTGGCCCTCATACAACCAGAGTACGCGTACACGTTCATTGTGCACTACATTACATCGTAAACCTACATACTGCCTCAAAATACGTGTGTGTTTACGTAATTAGCCATTTATGCACAAGTGCTCAGCCGTCTTACCATCCGTCTGGCCACTCGACCTGTGCACCGGTTTATATCGATATGCCGTTTGCATGAATCCACCGTTGCCGTCGCTCATGCCATAGGCTGTTTCACTTAGTATAAGGCAATTACGGTGACTCGCGACGCGATCGGCGACGATAGTCAACATGATGCTCTCGTATTGACGCATAAGAGCGTCCCTCTCGTCAGCCGTTATCGTAACAGTCACCGAATGTGAACAGAGGAAGACTAGTGGGCGAAGAACAGCTTCGCACTTCCGCCTAGGGAAGCACTATTCTATGAACGGTTCGGGGGCAGCGAATCACACGGCGCCAGTACGCAGTACATGCGTGGCAGACTGATTGATAACCACTTGACTGCACCGTATTGTTGTTATTGTTGTAGTTCATCGTTGTTATCCACCGTTTATTTTGCCCGAGCTGCCGCTGCCGATGCACTATGGGACAGCATCCAGACACTCCGGATACAGAGCAACAATCGCAATTACAGCAAGAGCATAAAAAGGATAATCTACAAGAAAGGGGCCATCGCAGTAAAGAACGATGACATCAAGCAGCAGCTAGAGCGCGTATCTGCCCTTAGAACCATTTGATTATCGTTTTTCGACGATTTCAACGACGGCAGCAACGGTCATTTAGAAACGGAACTGCTTGATTAAGCTTTCTGAAATCGTTGATTATTGTTGCTTTGCTATCGAAACATGTTATCGGGGCGGAAAAGAGGGCAATGTCGCAGCCTAGTAGCTCTGTCTGCAAAGTTGTCGTGGGGAGGGGGCATAACATAAGTAGATGTATTAGCATCACTTTGTCTATTGTACTATGTCTGTCAGTGTCTTGCTGTTTTCCAGAATTTGACAAAATGGAAGAAAGTCAACATCGTCGATGTGGTACAGAGGAAAGCAAAGTCGTCCAATTCAATGGTAATGGGTGTTGAGCATAGTAGGTCCAATCGATGGTGGTCGATGATAGTATATTTAGCCAAAATAGATGTAAACGAAGTTGGTGCTCCTTCTTCTGGCGACGCAAGTAGCTAGTGAGATAACTGATGGCGAATAACGATAAGCGCTTTGTCTTCGTTATCTGTTTATAGGCACATGTATAAAGGCTATATACTGGTGTTTTGGGCACGTTCAATGATCTGCCCGGAATATACACTAGGATAAATAATGTATTGCTAGTTTCAAAATGTCATTCCTTTATCAGCGTGTACTAAAATACCGGAATGTGTCTACTTGAGTCGAGCGGAAGTCGAAAATAGGGAACAACTAAAGATAGTTAAGCGGAATAGCATACAAAGCAAATTGTCAATGATGATATACTTGCATATGTCTAACACAGCGCGTCAGAGAAAGCGACTCGGAGAAATTGGGTCATGAAAAATGACGGGATGACCTTCATCAAAAAATTCGAAGAAATAAAACATATCCCTATTCAAATCGGTGTCAGGCCAAACCAGCACGCGTTACTTCTTCGAAGTAAAAATTTATCAAAAGTAAAAGAAATACAGAACCCGGCGCTCGATGCTGCCGAAATCGGTTCAAGATCAAAGTATACCAGAGCGAATAGTGGTGCTTAAGCACTCCAGGCATTGGAACATCAATAGACATTAAAAAAAAAACTTCAATTAAATTTACTTCAGAGGGCGACCAGTAATTCGTTTTGATGCTGCAGTTTCATCGTAGAATTTCGAATCAGCTTTTTAAAAGTGTGCTTTATTGTGCTTCACGCCCGTACCTGGCACCATTCATTGCTTTCTAATGCTGCCTCGATAGCTTATAGTAGCCAAGCGTGGAACAGATTCAAGGCAAGGATCTACCTAGCGCACTGTGGATTCAGAAAAGCTGAGTTCAGGACGTGGCGCCAGCTGGCAACAGTTACTGCAGGAGAAGCTCCCTTCTAGTTCTTGCTGCTTGATTGTCTACCCATGGGCCTGTTTCGCGTTTGAACGGAGAAGTTTTGATGGGCGGAGGTGTGTTGATAGGGTCTCCTTCCCGTCTCCAGGCGGTCGCTTCTTATCGAATACAGTCGAACTACGCATGTTTGGGGAGGACAGCAAAATTTGTTAGCAAAATCAAGATAAAAAAAATTAAAGGAGTTCGTCACAATGGGGGGAGTGTTATGACGAGCACTAATGCAGTAGAGGCGCCAATGTCGGTAAAACTAAAAGGGAATCGAGTCTGAAGATGATCTTTGTTTTTTTGTTTAAATGCGGAATAGGTAAGGGACATGTGAGGGGAAAGCAAGTATATGTTTGGCCTGCCGACAGACAATAGAGTGGTACGTTTTCGGGAATAATATGAGATACGAAAGTGATGTTGTTGCTTCAAAGCGCCCATTAACTGTCGTGATCGTGTATGATGAAGATATAGTGATCGAAGAAACTTTGATAATTTCACAGGGAACGACTCAATACACGTATCGATCAGCTGTTTATTTGACTATATTTGGACTTGTCTAAATACGAACTTATCATTTTTGGATTTTAGATATCGAAGCAGAATTTACAATATTCTCAGCAAAGTATCTCACAGTTAAAAAATAACTCGTTAAATGTGTGCATCAAAAAAAAAAAAAAAAATATATATATATATATATATATATATATATATATATATATGACTACAGTATAAAGAACATAAAAATCGTTAAAAATATTACATATTCATTGACGGCGTAGCATCATTATATGAGTAGCGCTGCAATATGCGTTACAGCCAAAAACGAGCGGGGTGCTTGTCAAAAGTTGACTCAGACGAAAAAACGATACGTTAAAGAAAGGTGAAATCAAAGATGGCCGCATGTCGTCAAAGAAACTCTGCTGCACGAAAACGGTACAATCCATCGTCGGCTGTCACAAGCCGCACTGAATATTTTGTGTACCTCCGCTAATATTTATGCCGCCGTGTTGCACTGTCTTTCCATGCTAGATCACTTTAGGTATTACGTAGTTAAGAGAAAGACGGTTTCTGAAAAGATTTGCGTGACAATCCGATACTACCTATCGTTATGTCGCTGATTAAGCTGCTCAACTTTTGGATATAATCACCAACGTTTCGGTAGTCCCATTGGGTTACAATACCGATAGGTTAAAAATATTCAAAGTAAAAATATGCGTACAATGGAAAAATATTGGTTTCATATGATAAAAAAACAGTTAACAACATTTTACAGCGAGAAGTTGCCCTCAACGTGCCCAGTGCGTAAGTTTACTTATGGCAGTAATTTTATGTCGGTGGGAATTACATTGCAGCTTTCTCTACTCATCTATAATAATCCAAAGTTACAAAGCCACCACGTTATTACGTAAGAATAAATGCCAGATATCGGTATTTCTATCGGAAGTTTTTGTTCCGGGTTCTCCAGTACGCAAAATGGCCAAGATATTGTAGCTTAGTGAAATGTATGTATATATATATGGGAAAAACCAGTGACATTAAGTTGATCCTCAGTGGAGTCTAGATAGAACTTCATTCCATCATAGACTGAGTTAGGAACTTCCCGCTTCCTGAAGCATCAACGGGTGAGGCGCTCAGATTCTGTCACCACTACACTAACCTAATCGTTTTAAGACGTCATAAGATACTTTCTCAGATTTTCAGTGCCTGCTGGCATCTACTCAGTGGACACATATGCTGTGCCTGTCCGACAGGGCTGGCAGTGATGTCAACCACGTCGTCGTGCTCATGAGGCTGCTGCTTAGATTTCTCCAGAAGACGAAATAACCGTAACTAGTAACATATTTTTTCGCTTATTCTAAACAATGCTAGCGTACAAGCGATTTCTTTGCTTAAGCAGTCTTCTCCATCACAAGAACCACTTTATCACTAACCTTCCCTCGACCACTTTCGCTCATCGATCGAATCGTCAGTCACAGACCGACGAACAACGCTTTGGCGACGTCCGGACCAGTAACAGGCTTACCAGTTGCACGCAGAATGCGTAACTGGTATCGCCGCTGTCCAAAAGCAACGAAACAATACGACGATAGTGCAATCTTTTGCAGCGTCGAATTGACAATACGATATAATCGTTGTAACAATAGCAGTGGTTTGGCCGTCGTGTCAGGCCCGACTGCGTCACGTACGGACATGGGCCATTCGGCCGTGAACTGACTCGCGCCGAAACAAACAACAGGAACAGCGATCCCCAGAAGATAGGTGCTTTTCGCGCATTGTCCTCCTAGCGGATAAAGCGAATCGTATCGATTGATCGCAGTCAAATATTACGTTACGTTGCGTAACTTGCTATGAAGTTTTGCTTGAGGCTTCATTTTGATCGTGAAGCTGCCTACAGAGCAAGAAAATAATAGAAAGATAAGTGTAGTGCAGTTTCTGTTTTGTTTGTATGCTGTGACAAACTAGCAGATACGATATCATTCGATGTTGTGGAAACAGATAGATGTATGTAGTGTGC